GATGAAGACCCCGAAGCAGCACGCGCGCGCTACATGCGCACCTCTGGATTCCGCGCCGACGATGCGATCTGGCACCAGCGCCTCGGTCACCCCTCGCACGTCACGCTGAAGAACTGCATCGAAGCTGGCGTATTCGCACCTGGCACACTCCTACGCCCTGATGGCACCGAAGTGAGAGGCGCAACACATCTGCGCACCTGCACCGTCCACCCTGAGGCCGCGCTGAGCCACCAGTCTTTCCCCCTGCTCGAACCTGGAACCAACCGCTACGCTAAGCTGGAAAGTGTGTACAGCGACTTCCTCAATGTGGGACATTGCGGAATCGACGACGAGCTGTATACGCTCACCTTCGTCGACGCTGGAACACGATACGTGTGAGTTGTGAATGTGGAGGCTCGCAGCAGAGCGTACGAGGTGTTTCCTCTCTGGCTGGCACACGCGCAGCGGCATTCTGGGTAGAAATTGAAGATATGGCAATCTGACAGCGCGGCGAAGTTCAGGAGAAAGGAGCTGCATATTATCTCGCACAGAAGGGGATCGAGCACCATATCTCCCTCCCCTACGCGCACCAGCAGCAGGGTGTAGTTGGGTGCACGAATCGCACCCTCAAGACGAAGGTGCGGGCGCTGATGAAGTAGTTGAAACTTCCGCCGATCTACTGGACCTACGCAATGCACCACGCAGTGCGGGTGCACAACCTGCTGTCAACCACCGCTAGCACCGGCAACCTCTCCCCACATGTGAAGTGGACAGGGACCAAGGGCGACACCTCCATGCTCCGCGTGTGGGGGTGCATGGTGCAGTACCGCCCGCCAACGTCAACCATTGGCAAATTCAGGAGCCGTGCGTGCTGGGGAATCCACCTCGGCATCAGCCACGAGTACAAAGCATGGCTCATCTTGGACCTCATGAGTCAAAAGGTTAAGAAAGCGCGCTACGTCATCTTCTACGAGCGCCTCTTCCTCCAACAGTTCCGCGAAGACGAGCAGACAAACGCGAATCGCGTCTACGCCAATGAGGGACACAGTTACGCCACGCCGGAGGATGAAGCTGCAGCAGCCATTCTGGAGCAAGACACCAGAGGCGAGTTTACGAGAGGCGATCGTCACGACGACGACGACGATTCATCTGAAGGAGGAGCGGGCGCAACAGGAGGAGCGGGCGCAACAGGAGGAAGCAGAAGTGGCGGAGGCACAGCACCACCTGCCCACCTGAGCCGGAGAGCGACGACGACGACGTGCAGAAAGTCACTCCGCAGCATCGTCACGACAGCACCGTCACTGGAATGCAGCTCCTCGGACTCCATACCGCTATCTCAACGGCGCCGCGCATCATCGAGCCAAAGAACCCACGCCAAGCTCTCACAGGACCCCACAGCAAGGAGTGGGGTGAGGCGATGGATGCGGAGATTAGGGCACTCTAGTCACGCGACACCTAGGTGCTCGTCGATCGCGCAGCAATCAAGGGGAGGAAGATCCTGTTCGGGAAATGGGTCTTTCGCGTGAAAACCGTAGGTGACGGCACGATCGAACGATTCAAGGCGCGCTGGGTCGTGAGCGGATACGATCAACGGCATGGGATTGACTTCGACCAGACATTTGCACCGGTCAGCCGCCACATCTCCGTCAGAATTCTTCTCGCCATCGCTGCCGCACGACACCTGCCGCTCCGACAAATCGATGTGAAGAACGCGTTCCTGTACGCGTTAGTAGATGCAGTGATCTACGTGGAGCAGCCGCACACATACGGTGAATGGGACTCACGCGTTTGCCAGCTGCGAAAATCCCTTTACGGGATCAAACAGGCGTCGAGGCTTTGGCAGCAGTACCTGCACAACATCCTGCTTGAAATTGGGTTCAAGCAGTTGCCGCACGATCCAGGGATGTATCGCCGCGATTTCCGCGGCGAATACATCCTACTCACAGTCTACGTTGACGACCTCCTCTACACAGGATCAAGCCCCGAACTGCTTGAGCAGTTCGAGAAGAACCTTGCGGGGCACGTCGACATCACCTACAACCATGACGTGAAGCAGTTCCTCGGCCTTAACATCACTTACTCCCCATAAGCTATCCACCTCTCAGCAGCCAAGTATGCAGAGGAACTTGGCAAGCGGTTCAACATCGCACTTGCACCGCTCTCCACCCCTTACCGCACTCCGGGACCCAATCACAAGCCTGACAACAAAGCCCTGTCCCCTGCTGGGCTTCAGACTTACCAGCAGCAGTTGGAATGCCTGCTCGTCGCCTCTGTTACCTGCAGGCCAGACCTCTCGTACATCGCGAGTCAGCTGGCCCAGTACTCCCGCAAACCAACGGCAGAAAATCTCTCAGATCTTCAGCGAGCGCTTCAATTCTTCATTTCCACGCCCAATGTTGGGCTCTGCTACTCCACCATCCCAACCGCATCCTTCAACCTCATCGGATACGTGGATGCTGATCATGCTGCCGATCCCGACAATCGACGGTCCAGGACGAGCTTTCTCTTTCGCCTTGAGCCCAGAGGTCCCATCTCCTGGAACTCGCAGAAGCAAGAGTTGGTTGCCTTGTCATCGGCGGAAGCAGAGTTCATCGCAGCGACGGCAGCCGTTCGTGAAGGTTTTTACCTTCAAGAGCTACTGCAGGAGGCGAAATTTCCAGTTTCGCCGAACTTCCGTCTGCACTGCGATAACCAGAGCGTGATCAAGATCGCGAACAAACCTGGCTTCGTCAACCGCACCAAACACATCGCACTGCGGTACTTCTTCGTCAAGGACAAAGTTGACAAGGGCAAGGTTGACCTAACCTACTGCCCGACGGGTGACATGGCAGCAGATTCCCTCACGAAGAAACTGTCGCGTCAGCAGTATCAGCACTGCTCCGAACTCAGCGGAGTAGTCAAACGGGTCAAGACTTGCTACGGCCAGGAGTGAAGGGGGGTGTTACGAATAGTGAAAAATGAATAAACTATTGTGCACTCCTTACCGCAGCAATCGAAGCAGGCACTGCCGAGGATGAAGACGAAAAGGCAAAAATGACGCGAAGGGTTGTACGGTTACGGAATGATCTGGACCGTCGGGCAGACAACATCCGGCAGCAGCAGTGGCGAGGATTCTGCCCGAACAGTTTCGTAACCACCTGGAGTCGCACGGTTAGATTTCGCTATAATAAGGGAATGTACCCCTTAGAGTACATGGCTAGCTAGGACGTTTGGTATTCCCCTGTACTCTTAATTGTATTCCTTGTCCTTGCATGTTTTAATCATCTCAAACATTCTACATTCACTCTGCTATTGGGGTCAAGGGCAGGGCCTCAGATGTCAGGAATTTTACCCTGAATTCCTGAAGTTCGACCCCCGTTTTTTATCATGACCCTGATGCATCAGCCTTTTTTTTTCAACGACCCTGATGTTTCAGTGTTTTTAAAATTCGAACTCTGATTTTCCAGTGTTTTGTGTTTGAGGACACTGACGAGTCAGTGTTGTATCGGGGTCTACCCTGAAACCGAAAACTCCTTGTTTTGGCGCGCCGTCACTGTGCACCGTGCACCAAGGGGATTTCTGGCGAAACATGCTCTGACAGGGCGAATCTCTTGTGTGAGGGGCGAATCTGCTGCTGTGTCAGGGCAAATCTGCTGTGATTGGGCGAATTTGCTGTGCTGCGACAGCGCGTAACGACTGTGCGAGGTCGAATTTGCCGTCAGGGCGAATCTGCTGTGACGAACCAAGTCCGAATCATCAGTCAAGTACACAACCAGAGATCAGAATCAATTCTTAACAATTGTCCTATTCGATTGGTCAGACAAGATTTCTGACCAATCAGACACGGAAATAGCAGAATCCTGGCCAAATTTGGGAATTGTAAAGTAAGGGCAGTCTGATTCGCTGTGTTATGACAGCATACCAGTATAAGCAACTATGCTGATCAGTGTTGAAGTTTTAGAAACCCTGATTGATCAGCGTTTTATTTCTAACAAACCTGTAAAATCAGTGTTTCACACTAGACGACACTGAAAACCAGTGTTACCCTCCTAAGGACACTGAGTGCTCAGGGTACACAAAAACCAATCTGAGGCCCTGGTCAAGGGCCCACCACCACTACTCAGTCTTGTGCGAACCTTCCTGAGGTGATCCTACGGAAGATCAATTTCTGATCGCATCAGTGGTGAACCCTTGACCTCAATTCAGAGTGGATGTAAAATGATTGAGATGATTAAAACATGCAAATACAAGGATATAAATAAGAGTACAAGGTGGAATACGAAACGACCTAGCTAGCCATGTACTCTAAGGGATACATTCCAACCGTGCAACTCCAGACGGTTACGGATCTGTCTGGGCAGAATCCTCGCCACTGTTGCTGCCTGATGCTTTCTGCCTTAACGGTCCAGATGCTTCGTAATCGTATGACCTTTCGCGTCGCGTCACTTCCGTCCTTTCATCTTCAGCCTCGGTGCAGTGTGCTTCGATTGCTGCGGTTAGGAGTGCACAGTTCCTTTTCTCATTTCACTATTCGTAACAATTCTCTACTGTTGGGAGCATCCCAATCAAACTCCCATCTGGAGCACAATTGTGGCAAAGTAATGAATATGCAATCATGTACCACAGCATTGTATCTGGCATCTGAGCGGTGGTTCATCCCATTACTACAATTTCTTCGTGCAACGCACTCCTTCAATCCTCGGAATATGGAATGTGTTGGCATAGAACCTAGAATGCAGAAACCAGGCCAGGGCCAACCATTGGTGGTGCCAATCCAATCCAACACTCCATGGTTTTTGGAGTGCATGTTCTTGTACGCATTGCCCAACCTGGTGCTGATGGGGGGTCGATCGAATGGGCAATCCGTTTCCAAGGCACATCACCATCATTCCGACAGACAGGCACAACACGAGGTGCTTGGTGCCAACAGTTGATTCGTCAGCCCAAATTACTGTGTCCTTTTCCAATGAAAATGATTCACTCGATTCCTCCAAAAACGAACTCAACATTTGTCAGCTACAGATTCACAGAATGGACAGACATTATTGATCCTGTTGCTCCCGCAGCTGCTGCTGCTGCTGCTGCTGCTGTTGCTCTGGCTGCACCTGCTGCTGCCCTTCCATCTGCCCCTCACCTCCAGCATCCCCTGCCCCCCACCTCCTCCGTACAAGCCACACCAAGCATCGCCCCATGAGAAAGACTCCAGAGAACCACAGGCAGAAAGACTCTGAGAGGAGAGACTCGGGCCGAATAGCCCACGCGTACGGGCACACAACCCCCCTCCTCCCTTCGCCTCTTGCACCTTTTCCTCCATGAGCCCCACCCGATTCTCCCCCCTGCTGCCACCACTGCTGCTGCTTGAGATGCTTGGTTTGCCGCCTGGAATCTTCCAAAGCGGCCATGTAAGGACACATGTGGAAGCTTGAAGCTACCCCATGCAGGAATGGCTTGGCTTCTTCAACTGCTGTGCCTGCCTCATCCACTGCTCCGCCTTCCGCTTCTGCATGTACGCTTGCGCCTGTGCTGGCGCCAGCTTGTGGTGAGTCAGCAGCAGCTTGTGCTGAGTCAGTGGCAGGGGAAGGTGAGTCGGATCCAACGCGTTTGGAGCCCCAGGTGACTGCGGAAGCAGGTTGATCCCAGCCGAACCATAGACTGAGAGGTGAAGAGTCAGTGGCGAAGGGGTTGGGGGAAGGCTGCAGGGGAGAGAAAGGGGAGCTCGTGGGACCTGGATGGAGGAGGGAAGAGAGAGAGGGGAGGAATGAGGGATGAGGGGTTACAGTGGGAATCGAAAGAAGCGTGGAGAGTACGACATAGTAGTTATTGGAAACTCCGTGGTACATTCAACCATTATCTGGAAGAAATTAGCCGTAACAACAAAGGGAGTGAGGTCGGAGAATGTTTTGCAGCAGCAAAGCCACTGTTGCAAGGCATTACGCTTGTCATGTTCAAGAGTTAACTTACTCACACCCGCTGCCCTTACACCCGCTGCCCTTACACCCGCTGCCCTTACACCCGCTGCCCTTACAGCCGCTGCCCTTACAGCTGCTGCCCTTATCCCCACTGCCCTTACACCCACTTCTCCTATACCCACGGCTCTTACAATCACCGCCCTCACACCCACTGCCCTTATACCCACTGCCCTTACACCCACTGCCCTTACACCCACTGCTCTTACACCCACTGCACTGTTCTCACAACCACTACTCTTACGCTCTTACACCCACTGCTCTTACACCCACTGCCCTTACACCCACTGCCCTTACACCCACTGCCCTCACACCCACTGCCCTTACAGCGAGTAAACGCTGAGATGTACTCAGAAAGGTGTGCGGCAGTGCGTGGGCCCCGGTAGCGAATCCGAGTAGTGGAGTTCTGCAGGAACAGCGCCGGCACACTGTACACGCCCATGCGCGAAAGAACGCTGCAGGGGAACCGGGAGGGCGGGGAGGCAGGATGGGATACATGGTAAGTCTGGTCACGAAAAGTGGAGAGAAGATGGAATCAAGGGAAAGGCGATAAAGAGTCAGGTTGACCGGAAGAGGGAGAAAGGGGGGGAAAGGGGGGGGGGAGGGAGGGGGATAAAACAAAACTCTAAGCTTCCGTGGTGAGTCTTTTGGTGGGGGATAGGGGGGGTTGGGGGCAGGAGAGCAGAAAACCCTCTAAAACAAGCTTGACAGCACCTTGAACTTATTGAGTCATTCAGAACTCGCTATAACCTCAACTCCGCCTCCTCTAGAAAGCAGTAACTTGGCTGGAAGTTTCATGCTTTCAGAAAAGTGGGATTAGGGATGTAGAGTAGCATCTAGAGTAGCATGCGAAGCAGCAAGTGGAAAGGGATTGGTGACGGCGAGGGAGAGTAGCAGCAGACCAGTGGTGACGTGTATCGAGTCGACTCAGAACTTGTACCGACAACTGTCCTCGATCTCCCATTATCGCTCACTTAAAAACTCCCTGCTATCACAGTGACGCAGTAAGATGGTGTGAGAGTCAGGTGGTGGGGGTGTCAGGTGGTGGGGGTGTCAGGTGGTGGGGGTGTCAGGTGGTGGGGGTGTCAGGTGGTGGGGGTGTCAGGTGGTGGGGGTGTCAGGTGGTGGGGGTGTCAGGTGGTGGGCGGAATACGTTGTCGTGACCTGGTACGTGTGTTACCTGGGTTGGAGTTGGTCGGCACGTTAGGCACGTTACCTAGGTCGGAGCTCCTTCTTGTCAATGGCCACGTGCAGTATGTGGGGGAAGAGCGGCGCTGTGGATGAGAGGAGCACGCGCAGTTGGGACGAGAAGGGGCACCAGTCTGTGTATACCAGCACACACGCTGCACGGCACACTGCAGAAGCACGGTTCGCTAAACCGTTCCTGCTGCTCCTGCTCTTGCCCCTGCTGCTGCTGCTGCTGCTGCTGCTGCTGCCTGTGCTGCTGCTGCTGCTGGTCGTGCTGCTGCTGCTGGTACTGGTGCCGGTGCTGCTGCTGGTAACGGTGTTACTCCCGCTGTCGCATGCTCCTTGATGGCCGGTTTGGCTAGGGCACGTGTGGGGGAGGTCAGAAGGGTTTGGCTTGGATTCGACGGCGGAATGGGTGGATGTGGGGGGAGAAGGGGAGGTGTGCGGATGGGGGAAGGGAAGCGAAGGGGAAGGGGTTGTGGAGTGAAAGGAGGATGAGGGGGTAGAGGAGGGACTGGAGGAGGGAGATGTGGGAGGAGAGGTGAGTGCTGTGGGGTTGGAAGCGGTGAGAAGTTCAAAGAGGCGGTTGAGAGTGGTGGCGTTGACCTGGGGGTTAGGAGAGAAATGCGAGGATGGGAGGATAAGAAGGGAAATGGGAAGAAGAGGTGAGGGAGGGAGGGGAGAGGGGAACGAAAGAGGGAACGAAAAGAAGAACGGAGGTTATGTGCAAGCAAAGTGAATGACAAGAACGACGAAGGACTGAGTACTGGTGACGTATCATCTCACCTCTATGATAGGATCATCGTCTGCCTCTCGTCTCAACTGCGTTTCAAACGCGTCCCAATCTGACACGGCCGGGACTTGAGATGACACGGGCTCGGATTGAGATGAAACGGCCTCTGGCTGAAACGAAACGGGGTCAGATTGAGGCGACATGGCTTCAGGTACGATACGAACATCGTCATCATGACCTTCTGGAATCGCGTCAGGAGCTCCTATTGCCACGTCAGACAGGGAAATAGCCGCGGGGAACGCGTCGAAAATGCACAACACTGATAGCAGAACGATAAGGTTTCGAAATTTGTCGCGACGTGGTCGTAATCTACCGATGGTTTCTGGATCCGAACGAGAAGCGTTTCGTAGACGCCAGCTAACAAGCATTTTGCGGGCGTGTGCTTTTTGCCGAGCTCTGCCGCGCCACGGAAGCACCGAGTTGAAATATTTGGTGAAGGGGAGTCGATCCAAGCCAGCTATGGTGCTATGCAGAATCTGACAGCTACTGACGCGTCGGGTTTCTATGCTCTGCTCGTACGGAAACCACCTTCTGCTCAAGTTCTACAACACTTTCAAGAAAAAATATCGAATATGGATATACTTATCATGACTTACATTCTCTCACACTTGCAATATTTTTCCCCTTTTGGACAAACCTTGTTTCGTTCAATTGCACATATCATCCTTTCGGACTACAAAATCGCTTCCAATCCCTTTCTACAAATTTCAGCTCAATGTTGTGAACGCCCCCCAGCGCAAGCACGCACTAGCGCAAGATTGCGTCTAGTAGTTGCGGTAGATAGGCCGATGCTCTTTGGAATGGTGATGGACATTAGTATCACCAAACTTACGCAAGAACGCCTAGATAAACGGACAACCATTAGCTGGAAATTGACACAATTACAACTGAGGACGGATCTCTCCAACGAGCATATGTTCATATACACTGCAAGAGCACCAACAAACAGTATTAAGCAATACTCAGGTAACACAGATCTATAGTAAACATCTGGTAGCTCCTGATGTTATAACTGAAGGATCGCAGTGGATAGGATAAATCTACTAAGTATATGAGAGAACTGTGAAGTCTCTGTAATGACCTTGTTGATACAGCCTTGAAAGAACAAGATAATTATAAGATAGAAGTACAGTGTTACAATCCCAAGTGGGACTTAGCGAAGGATCGCTCAGGGTTGATCGCAGAGTAGTGTTGCAGCGGAAGTTTTGAATCTCAGGTCAGAGTGAATGTAAATGACTGAGTTGATAATAGCATGCATACATCGAGTTTATATAAGAGTACAGGGGAATACGAAAAGACCTAGACTAGCCATGTACTCTAAGGGGTACATTCCCTTATTACAGCAAATTCAAACCGTGCAGCGCGGGAACCCGTTTTGAACCTGTTCCCGCTCTTTTCATTTCAAATGTTTCTGCCTGCATCGGTCTTGGTCAGACGGTTGCTGCGTCGCTTCGACTCTTCTGACTCCTCGACTTCGTACTCGGTAGAGTCGGCTCCTGCAGCATACAGGAATGCCTTCTCATAAAACTTCATATCGTAACACTCCCCTTCATTCCTGGGCGCAGGAGGAGCTGACTCGCTTGACCACTCCGGTGAGGTCAGAGCAGTGCTTGTACTGCTGACGTGGCAGGCGCTTGGTGAGGAAGTCTGCCGCCATCTCAGTAGTCGGGCAGTAGGCGAGGTCAACTTTTCCTTGGTCAATTTCGTCCTTGACGGAAAAGTATCGAAGCGCGATATTCTTCGTGCGGTTCACGAAACCTGGCTTGTTCGCAATCCTGATGGCACTCTGGTTGTCGTAGTGAAGGCGAAAGGTGGGCGAGGTTGGAATTTTCGCTTCCTGTAGCAGCTCTTGCAGGTACAGGCCTTCGCGAACTGCTGCTGTCGCGGCGATGTATTCTGCTTCGGCCGATGACAGGGCAACCAGCTCCTGCTTCTGCGAGTTCCAGGAGATTGGCCCAGTTGGTTCCAGGCGAAAAACGAAGCCGGTTCGGGACCGTCGATTTTCGGGATCAGCTGCATGATCTGCGTCCACGTAGCCGTTGAGGTTGAAGGAGGTCGTCGTCAGCGTGGAGTAGGAGAGCCCAATGTCAGGTGTGGAGATGAAGTACTGCAGGGCGCGTTCCAGGTCCAGCTGGTTCTCAGTTACTGGCTTGCGAGAATACTGCGCCAGTTGGCTAGCGATGTACGAAAGGTCGGGTCGGCAGGTGACAGAGGCGAACAGCAGGCAGCCCAGTTGCTGTTGGTACAGTTGGAGCCCTGCGGGTGACAGTGGTTTGTTGTCTGGTTTGTAGTTGGTGCTGGGGTTGCGGTAAGGAGTTGAGAGTGGTGCGGGAGAGATGTTGAAGCGTTCCCCCAGCTGCTCTGCGTACTTGGAGGTTGACAGGTGAATTGCTTCTGGCGCGTAAGTGATGTTTAACCCCAAAAACTGCTTTACTTCGGGGTTGATGGTGATATCCACGCGCTGCGCCAGGTTTTCCTGAAACTGATCCAGGAGTTTGTTGCAGGTGCCCGTGTACAGCAGGTCGTCGACGTAGACTGTCAGGAGGATGTAGTCGCCGCTGAAGTGAAGACGATACATTCCCGGGTCGTGTGGGAGCTGCTTAAAGCCGATTTCGAGGAGGATTTTGTGCAGGTGCTGCTGCTAGAGGCGAGGCGCCTGCTTGATCCCGTAGAGGGACTTCTTCAGCTGACAGACCCTGGGATCACCTTCCCCGTAGGTGTGCGGCTGCTCCACAAAGATGGTGGCGTCCACCAACGCGTATAGAAACGCGTTCTTCACGCCGATCTGTCGCAGTGGCAAGTGCTTAGCGGCGGCAATGGCGAGTAAAATCCGGACGGAGGTGTGACGACTGACGGGAGCGAAGGTCTGGTCAAAGTCAATGCCGTGGCGCTGATCGTACCCGCGTACGACCCAGCGTGCCTTGAAACGCTCGATAGTGCCGTCAGCGTTGGTTTTCAAGCGAAAAAACCACTTTCCGCTGAGTACCCTCCTCCCCTTCACTGCTGCACGATCGACTAGGACCCAGGTGTCACGAGATTCCAGCGCCTTTAGCTCCGCATCCATCGCAGCACGCCACTCCTTGGCGTGAGGGCCGGTTAGGGCCTGGCGAGGATTCTTGGGCTCCACGGCCCGTGCAAGAGTAGAGACGGATGTGTGCAGGCCGAGAAGTTGAAGGCCTGACACGTTGGTGGTATCAGTGGTAGTGGGAACTTCCACCACGTCGTCGTCTCCGCTTTCATAGCCGGATGCTGCGGTGCTTGGTTCTGCTTGGCGCCGTGGTGGTCCTAGCGCGAGGTCGTCATCACTGTCATCGTCGTCGTCGTCGCGCGGGCGAGGCGGGATGCTGGGATGTTCGTCGGTGTCGTCGCGATCCAGAACTGCTGCTGCTGCTTCGTCTTCTGGAGTCGCAAAGCTGCGGCCGCTGTTGGCGTAGCCTCGTGCCTGGTTGCGGCGCTCGTCCTCGATCCACTGCTTCAGGGTGAGTCGCTCGTAGAAGAGAATGTCACGCGCGGGAACAATTTCGTTACTGTCAATGTCAAAAATGAGCCAGCCTTTGTGCTCGTGACTGAGCCCCAGATGAACTCCCCAGCGCACACGATGAACGAACTTGCCGATTGTTGCCGAGGTCGGCCGATATTGCACCATGCACCCCCAAACCCTCAGCATGGAGGGGTCTCCCCTTGAGCCGGTCCACTTCATGGGACAGGTTGTCCCTGTTGGTGGTGGTGGAGAGGAGGTTGTGCAAGCGCACCGCGTGGTTCATGGCGTAGGGCCAAAATTTCTTTGGCAGGCCGGACTGGTTCATGATGGCGCGGACTTTTGTCATGAGAGTGCGGTTGACTCTTTTAGCGACGCCTTGCTGCTGGTGAGCGTAGGGGAGAGAAATCTCATGCTTGATCCCCTTCTCGGTGAGGACGCTCTCCAGCTCATTGCTGCGAAATTCCTTTGCCCCATCACTCTGCTAGATCTTCAGTTTCCTCCCTGACTGTCGCTGCGCGTGCGCAAGGAAGATGCGGAACACCTCCGGAGCCTTGGAGCGGGCGTCGACGTTGGCGATCCACACGTGGCGTGAGTAGGCATCGATGAAGGTGAGGGTATACTTCTCGCCGTTGATGCCGTCGCAGGTGAGTACGATGAAGTCGCTGTAGACTTTCTCCAGCTTTTTGTAGCGGTTGGTGCTCGGCTCCAGAGAGGGATAGGCGGTATGAGAGAGTGCGGCTGTGGGGCAGACAGTGCAGGTGGTCGGGTGTGGGGTGTTGTTCTGTAGTTCTGTTCCATCGGGGCGCAGCAGTGCTCCTGGCGGAAAAACTTTAGCGCGGAGGCAGTTAGCAAGCGTCTGGCGCGAGGGGTGTCCCATTCGCTGGTACCAGAGATCATCTTCGGCGCGGATGCCGGAGGTACGCTTGTAACGAGCGAGATGCTCTGCTGCCTCTTCCGCCGTGAGTTGCGGGATCTGGAGTGGGGGTTCTTCCTCTTCTCCTGGTTCCGCTTCGTTGCCCGGCTCCTCTACTTCTGCTTCTGCTTCTGCCGTTGCCTCCCCTTCTGCAGGTGCCGTTGTGAGGTAGAGCGCAAGAAACTCACGGTCGGGGATGAAGGTGAGCGGGGTCATGGTGCCTTCGATGAAGCGAGCGAACGGATCTGGGCGTGAGATTGGCCCAAGTGAATCCCGAGGAGGAGTTGGTGGTACATTTCCCTCCTCAATCTCCGACCAGGGATTGCTCCAGCGATGAGGTGAGCGAGGTGGTTCACCAGTGCGTGGGGGTCGTCCGAGGGGAATGGCGACACGGGGTGATTCTTCGCCACGCTCAGCTCTCATTTCTCGTTCAGCTTCCTCCAATTCTTCTTGCGTGAGCTCCCCTTCGTCGGGTTCGGCTGTCCCCCATCCTCCCGTGGTGACCGCGCCGCTGGCGCTTGTTCCCCATCCTCCAGTTGCAGATGCCCAGGTTGCGCCTTCTTCTGGTTCGTAATCTTCATCTCCCCATGCGCCTCGCCGTGCAGACTCTTCGTCCCATCCTGCCACGACGCGCTCCTCATACAACTTCTGTTTCTTCTCCGCCCGGGCCTTGTCTTGTTCTTCCTTGACGCTCAACTCCCCTTTTGCGTCAGGATCCTTCCAGGTTGGATCAATCTCGCGGCGATAGA